AAACTTTATTTTTGATTAGTAATATGCATTGCTAAGAACTTCATTTGGAAAACTTTAAAGATGATTTTCTCAATATTTGGATTTTTTTGCACCCTCAGATTCCAGATTTTCAAATAGTTGTATCTCGGCCAAATATTGTCCTATCCTAACAAACCATACATCAATGGAAATCTTATTTATTCAGCTTTCAGCTGATGTATAAATCTCAATTTCGAAATTGACCCTTATGACTGGTTTTGGGGTCCAGGGTCACATATTGTCTCATTCCAGTGTGTCCCATTATTTTTTATATGCTTCTCTTGGCTCTGACATATGTCTCTGTTATTTAATTGGATAAAGTGACGCTAGAACTGTTATAGAATTAAAACCATGTGCTGGAATGGAACAGTATTACAAGAAATATTAGTTACGCTTTTGCCAGATGTCAAACTATTTAATAAAACTCTATATGCATATGTATCCAATGTATTGCAGAAAAGAGGAGGTTTCATCTTGCCAGAAGCAGCTGCAGGAGTTCAAATCTGCCGCAGGGGTGTTAATGAAATGGCTGGAGGAGACAAAAGAGCAAGTGCCAGTGCTTCAGCCCAACTGCAGTGAACAGGGCCTGGGAACAGACCTGCAGAAGGTCAATGTGAGTGATGGATTTAACTTTTCACCTCTTATTGTGGGACCACAAAACCTTCAGGACAGAACGATGATGTAAATGAAAAGAAAATAGCTAGAATAGAATAGCTTATTCAGTTAGGGGCACTTAAACTACTTCAAATCTGTTTGTCAATTTTTGTCGACACAATTACCGCATGTCCTTGAATGGAATGTGAGCTAATATGAACTTTTGATATATTTTGTGATAGTAATGATGTGAGATGGACATTTTTTCCCGTTTTTGGATGAGCTAGGTAAGCTGTGGACTTGCTAAGAAGTTAGTTAGCAGTCAGTTAATAATCAATGTATTTAAATAATTTATTACTTTTTAATACATTTTTGTCTTTAAATTGCAATTCTCAAATACTAACGGGTTTTGTAATAACATACTATTAAATGAAAGCCATTTCTTATGTTCAAACCCTCCTTCTGTTGGCCAGACAGAGACTTCTCATTTCCATTATAACCAATATATAATATAACATTTTTAATAATTGTTTTGTAAAATGACAAACAAAAGCATTATTTATAGCATTACAACATATTCGGTTAAAAAAATTGCATTTTAGTACTTTTTATGAAATTGTGATAGAAGAAATGTTTGTCTGGGAAAGAACTCCAAAATAGAATCATTGTAGCAAACAAGTAAGCAAAAAAGTAAGCAAAGACTCAAAGCAAAGAAAAGATTAAGGATTTTTAAAATCTTTTTCCATCCATTTCCTCAAAATGTCAAAACGTCTCTTAACTCTATATAGATTTGAAAGTTTTCAAATGACATTTTCTGGTCTGTTGTCTGCAGGGCTTACTGGACGAATGGACTTCCAAAGCTCCTGCAGTCCAGGATATAAATAGCAAAGGATCTGCTCTATGTAGCCTAATCAGTGTTTTGACATCACCGGCCAAAGCCAAGATGCGTCACAACTCAGGTATTGCCCAAGAATATTTTAAGATTGTCTCAGTTCTACATGATCACTCATTAATTCCATCTAGCATAAAAGCAAACAGATGGAATGTCTTTTTTCTCTCTCTCTCTTTAGGATCAGCTGTCATTAACGGTTCTGATCCAGGCAGCCATTCTTATCTGACAAACCAAGGTGAAAGTTCATACTAGTGATGCTTTTTTTTTTTTTCCTGTGACCAATTACTAATACTGTGGTCAGTTAAAATGTATGCTATTCTGCCTATTTGTATAAAACTATAAGCATATACTTTATTTGCCATTAGAGTTGATGCTGGTACAGCAGAACATGTCCTACATTAACAACGATTACGAACATCTGGGGGAGCTCCTGAAGGCCAGGTCCTCTGAGCTCAGCGCTTTGTTGAAGAGAGTTCAAGGCGTCCATGATCAGGCTGAGTCTTTACGTCAGTGGATGGAAGACACAAAGAAGACAGCAGCATCGAGTAACCATCCATCTGGGAAAGATGCAGTAAAATCACAGATAGAGGTACATTAAATGCATTACTGTAGATTATTTGAAGGTGGTTGCCAGGTTGTTCTGGGAATGTATTCCCATATTTCAGGCTATTCCACATAATTTCACAGATTTTTCTCAACGATAACTACAGAAAATCTAAAAAGAAAAAAAAAAATGCACAAATTCTGTGTCGGCCTTCCCATACATTGTACATGGAAACCTTGACAGTATGTCATCATAAGATGATTCTTTAAGCTATAAGCATTGAAATAGCTGATTATTATGTCTGTCTTGCAGGTCTTTGAAGATAATATGAAACAAAAGCAAGTGCAGCTCCAGCAGCTCAGGGAGAATCTGCTCCGCTTAATCGAGGAACACCCTGATTCAGCCGAGGCAGAAAAGTGGAAGCACATGCTGGCACAGATAGGTATGCATGCATCACATCCAAAACCAATCATCTACTTTTATCTGCTCATCTGTGTGCATGGCCAGGTGCAGATTCACACACTTACCTTCTGCACCAACTGTGAGCTGAAGTGAAGCTCCTGTGAAAGCTCAAGCTCTGAATCAGTGCTCGGCTAAAGTGAAGCTGGGAGTGATAAAATGATGTGTGTTATGCTCCACACACAGATGCAGGATGGGAGGAGGTCAAGGGCACAATGGAGATCCGTAAACAGCACCTGGAGGAGTCGTCTCGCATGCTGGAGCTCTTCCAGACGACCCAGCCGCAGCTCTCGCTGTGGCTGCAGGAGAAGGAGTTGATGATGGGCGTCCTGGGGCCTCTGTCTGTGGACCCAAACATGCTTAACACACAAAAGCAGCAAGTCCAGGTACTGGTTGATATATTATCAAATATCAGAGACTATATGAGGTTAAACGAGTAGTTCACGCCAAATGTTTTTCACAAAATGTGTACTCTTATTTTATTACAGCTATATATATAACTTTGTTATTTTATCAATGCTATTAAAAATGCGATGCATATTACAAACAATTGGAAAGTACAATAAAGAAAGACAAATTAAATAAACTATAAATTGTAAATAAACTATAAATAAATAAACTATAAATTTTTCAGGTACAGTAAATTAAATAGTTAAATGTAAAAAAAAAAAATCTGAATAGCCTTCTCTGTCTTAAATGTGCGTTGATCATTGTTAAAGCTGCTGAAGTTATTCAGTCAAGAGCAGTGAGGGAAATTCTCTGTCTTTTTGTTTTTCAAGGCTTTTTGCGGTTAATAACTCTCAAACATCAAGAATGTCCCAAGCTTTTTCTCATTCATGCATGTTTAATTATCTCTCTAACAATAGTCAATAGCATTAAACGTTCTTGTGTTATTTACATATTACACAATACAGCAAACTCTCTGTATATGTATATACACACAATTTATATTGTCGCCACAACATATATTATCCAACTCTAGTTCACCCACAAATTAAATTCGTCATCATTTTCTCATCATCATGTTGTTCCAAATCCATGTGACTTTCTTTCGGAGAAGAGAAAACATGTTTTGGAGAATGTTCCTGCTGGGCTTTTTCTGTTCTAAACAACAAATGTAATCAGAGGCTGACAAACTTAAAAAAAAGACAGGAAAGTGCCATAAGAGTAATTCATATGACCAGTTTTTTGTCTTGAGAAGACTTGGAATATAGTACACTGGTCATATGGACATATGTATCTTTTGGTCACACTTTATTTTAAAGGTCCGATTCTCGCCATTAACTAACTATTAGCTATGACTTCTGCCTCAATTAACTCCTAATTACTGCTTATTAAAAGTTAGCAAGGTAGTTGTTAAGTTTAGGTATGGGGTAGGATTAAGGGATGTAGAATATGGTCATGAAGAACAAGGCATTAATACGTGCTTCATAAGTGCTGATAAAGAGCCAATATGCTAGTAAACTTGTTAATAATGAGAATTGGACCCTAAACTAAAGTTTTACAATGCTTTTTTGTTGTATTTAGAGCTTTATAGACCTTGGTACAATGAAACCTATATGTTTTTTTTTGTACAGAAAAGAGCAGTGTAAACATTCTGCTAAACACTTTTGTGTTTCATGGAAGAAAGCCAAACCAGTTTGGAATGATGACAGTATTTTCCTTTTTGAGTGAACTGTCCTATTATGTTACAAAGATTTCTAATGCAACTGAAGATTAGTAATCCCTTAATGCCTATTACTTAATGTCATATGGTGTTTCTTTGATTAGATTCTCCTCAAGGAGTTTGACAGCCGCAAGCCTCAGTATGAGAAGTTGACCGAGGCGGCCACAGCCATCGCTAGTGCGTCAGAGCAGCAGGATCCTGCCGTAGAGCAGGTTAAAGAACAGCTGGCATCTGTTTCCCAGAAGTGGCAGGCCCTGACAGGTCAGCTGTCTCAGAGACATGCTCTCATTGAGCAGGCTGTCGGTAAGACCACTCAATTCCAGGAGCTCTTGCAAAGCCTCAGTAAAAGTGCCACTTGCCTGGAGACTGAACTTAATAACCAGCAGGCCCTCAGCACCCAACCTGATGAAGTCAAGAAGCAGATTGAAGCCACTAATGCAATCCTGGCTCAGCTACGAGAGGAGAAGAAGAGGCTGAAGGAGGCAGAAAGTGTCTGCTCTGAGCTCTCTGCCATGGTGACTGAAGAGTATCTCAGAGCAGACTTGACAAAACAGCTAGAGGGCATCACTAAACCATTTAGACAACTTGAGGACAAAGCAGGTATTGTAGTTTACTTCAGATACTCTTGTCTTCTTTCTGCAACATCACAGAATATCTTGGTTTTATATTTGCACATTGCCGAAAGCTGTTCAGATGTCCTTAGAATTTGAATGCCCCTTTTTATATAAAGTCATATGCATCCTCTGACCTGTGTGTTCATTTATCAAGTATTTATCAAGTAGCAATCTAAATTTAATACAGTTTAGTAAGATTAATTCAATTCCACTGATCCCCCCAAAATCAGTTTTAAAAATGCAAAAGGCAAAAACAAGCAGATTCCATCTTTGCCTCAAGTGTCAAATATTATCCAACTATGACAAGCAACTCATGACAAGACATGCTTGGTTTTTATTTCTGTTGCATAGTGTTTAGTGTCCCCACAAACTGCACATACTGTAGCTCTATAGCAAACATCAGCCATGTTCCAATTGGTTGTGATTTTTGCTTTCAGACAAAGCAGAAAAATTGCTTGCCGTTTGAGACTTGTTATGTGATGCCCTGCTCGGACACAGTATTACATAATTGTGACAACTGTTGAGACTTCTTATCTAACATTCTTATATTTTACCTTGTGTCCACCAGGAAAGCGGATTGAGCAGCTCAACTCAGCCTTCGCCAGCTCCCAGCAGTTCCATCAGACATCGAAGGACTTCCAAGCCTGGCTGAATCAAACTCTGCAGGAGCAGTGTAAGCCACAGCCCGTCTCTGCTAATGCAGAGAAGTTAAAACAGAGTCTCAAGGAGAACAGTGCTGTCCAAAAGGCCATTAGTGAGCATGAAGAACCTTATAACACCATCATTAAAGAGGGAGAAGCTCTCCTCCAGAGCACGGAGGGGGCAGAAAAGGTGGCCCTTCAGGGACAGCTCTCTGCTCTAAAGTCCAGCTGGGACGATGTAAAGAAAAGTAATGCTGCGCAAGCAGAAAAGCTTCAGGGGGCCTTGCAGAGGGCACTGAAGTACAAGGAACATTCTGAGAAACTGAGCTCATGGTTGCAAGAGTGTGAAGACAGGGAGAAGAACGTGAAGCTCAGCGCGAACTCGGTGGAGATCGAGGGCTCCCTCTCACAGTTGAAGGCCATCCAGAAAGACGTTGACAAGCACAGAGGGCAAGTTGCGATGGCGAACACAGCTGCCGACAGCCTCCTGGAGGTAGTCACTTCAGATGGCGATTCGGTTAGGGAGGAGAAGGCAACCATTGGTAAAAGAGTGGATAAGCTGACAGAAGATTTAACGCTCAAAAGAGAATCGTTAGAAAATATCTCACAGAAGCTGAAAGAGTTCAACGACTTACAGAAGGAAGCCAAAGGGCAGCTGGAGGCTGCCAGGAAACAGCTGGATTCTCATTCGGCCTTGGGTGTCCAGGCCTACAGCAACAAGAACCTGACCAACATGAAGGCTCAGCACAACAGCTTAGAGGGTGTCCACAACCAGATTGAGCATCTCAAAAATCTGGCAAAAAGTCTTGTGGTAGATGCCTCTGAGGTGGAAGGTGTGACAGACCTTCTTCTTCAGGCAGACAGCTTGGAAAAAGACCACATGTCAATTACTAAAAAGGTAGAGGATGCCTGCTCCACCTTGGAGAACAAACTCCAGGGCATTGGACAATTCCAGAACAGCATTCGTGAAATGTTTGCGAACTTCACAGACCTGGACGATGAGTTCGATGGTATGGCTCCAGTAGGCAGGGGTCTTGACACCTTACGGGATCAGCAAAGCACTATCAAAGACTTTGTTGCTAGACTTCAGGATCTGATGACCAACACGGCCAATGGCAGAGACAGTTGCAATAAGATGCTGGAGTCAGAGGCCTCCCCAGATCTCCTGGGTCTGAAGAGAGACTTGGAAACCCTGGGCAAGCAGTGTGGAAAGCTGATGGACCGAGCCACGGGTAGAAGAGAACAGGTTGAGGAGACCCTCAGTCATCTGGAGGAGTTCTACGTCAAGGCGCAAGAGTTTACCCACAAACTGAGCAGTGCCGAAAAACAAGAGGAGTCCCAAGGGTCTGTCGGATTGGAAACAGAAGTCATTAACCAACAACTGGAGACCTTCAAGGTAAAATTAAGATTCATTGCATGTCTCACCTTGTTCTGTTCCCCTTCTAGAAGATCCATAGCAGTCACTGACATTTTAAAGGATTGATATATTGTGATTTATGTTTATTTTGATCTGTTAGCCACGTGTTAGACCTTCTCTAGACAGTTCAGTATGTCCGTGAGCATCTGCTGCTAACAAAATAGCGTCAGCTGATGGGGCATTGTTGCGAATGTGCGGTGAGGCAGCTGGGAGCCAGTGGGGTGCCGTGTATCGTAGCGTCCCAGTGAAAGGTAGTCGGACTTCTGCTCCTTGCCCTGTTAGCTATGCTAGAGCAGGCCTCTCCATTCAACTGCAAACAATAGGTGCTAATTCAATTTTTTTCCCTGAATTTGGACCTGCTATATGTAAAGATTCAATTCTTGTGCAAAATATTAGAAAACTGATTATGCTATATTAACAAATCTGTTCAGCCTTTTTATTTTAGAGCGTGTGGTTGCATGCACTGCATATTTATGATGTTTCTATCAGAATCTTTAAATGAATGTTCTGGGTTTAAAACATGCCTTTATTTTTAGTTACCACAGTTCAGTTTTTGAAAAAAAAAAACTGTTGACAGTTATACACTCACAGCAGAAGTGTATATTGCACAACAATTTATGTTTGCCTCACTGTAGTGATTTTTATTTTGACAAACTGAGAGGCAATTTGAAATGATTTTCTGCGCCACAGATGCAACCGATAAAGATTGACTATTAATTAACCAGCAATATTTTTAGAGAAGTTGACCTCATCTCTCAAAAATTACATCTTTGTCTTGGTCAGTTTGGATTCTTGGACCTTTTTTTACTCAATATTTCAAGTGCTACATCATTTGTACATCATCATCACTTATTCCCCCAAATACCGGAGCAAAGTGTTCTTTCTTTTCTTTTGTTATGGCAACGCAGTGTGTTTCTTATCATAAACAAAAGACCTGGAGTAGATTTCTCTGTTCTTGTTATAGTCTAATTACTACTAAAGGAAATCAAAGCAAATATTAGAATAGATAATATTGTAGTTTTATCTACAATTTAACTCGCATGCTTTTTTCTGTGCGCTCAGCCGCTGCCGAACCGAAGCGCGCACACGCAGAGAGTGAGAGGCGCGATTCAGACACAGCGTGATACCTTTATTTACATACACACAAAGTTATGTTAAAATACCCGCTTTGGCAAGTATTCTAGTTAAACGCAGTCGGTTATTTCTTAAGTGAACGTAAACAGATGAGAAAGAAACCGGATGTGTGTCAGTGTATTAGGCGGGCCGTGCATTTGGTCTTAAAGCGACAGCAGCCAATACATACCTGTTTCTGTCTGCTAATCAAATAACTCCACAGCTCTAACAAAGATTAATCTGTATTTAACTTGTGCAGTGAGCACTATTGTGTTAAACTTAATTATTATTATTTCTGCACCTAAATTCTGATATTTGTAACTGTGATTTGTTGTTTTCATCTATACTTGTAATTTGTGTAATTGTTCTTGTTTTATTACTAACTTTATTAGTTAAGCTAATAGTTTTTGCTATGGTATAGAAGTACTTAAAGTAAAGTTTTTTTTTTTTCTGATCCGAAAAATGATCCGATCCGTGACTCAAAATCCGTATATGATCCGAAACGTGAATTTTGTGATCCGTTGCACCACTAGTGATAAAGCATCAGCTGCCGCTGTTCAGTCGATCATGTGGCCCCTTGTTGTTCGGGCTCCCCCATTATTTTTGTTCTTTTCAATATCTGGATGGATGATCACTGCTACATCAGCTGCTGCTGGAAAATCAGCTTTGTTCTCACTGATACGGCCATTAAACTCAAACACAAAGACAGGCATAGATTTTCAGACAGAAATCTGATTCTGTCATTTAAGAATATACGTGTGAAGTAGCTTGTTTATCCTTATCTTTTTTTCTTCAATTAAGTGGATTCATTTGTGAATAAACCTAATACATAAGGACTTAAGATGTTTGTCGGAAATCAACCCACAACACCCTGATATTGTGACAGTGAGGTTTACACTTGCAGGAGATGTTTGGAAATTGACGTCTTCTTTTCCATGACATGAATGTCTCCTGTGAACCTGTGGGAATTTCTGGCTCTTGAATCATAGCTATTTGTAATTCCATAGGTGATGATGGGAAAAGGGTCATTGTGAGCCCCCAGTGTTGAGCTGACTCATCAGCCTGACTCACCGTACAAACACCCGAGAGGCAACCTGAAACCCTCCACCAGCACAGCACTAGAACTTATGCACATTGTTGCATTATGATGAAGTTGTTATTTCACTGCTATCATGTTGCCTGGGACATTGACAAAGAGAGAGAGAGATAACGTTTTTGGCTCAATGGATCCCAGTGGAGTTTACTCTATGAGATTAACGAAACCTTTGTTCTCATCAAATAATAGTTCTGCGTTTCAGTGCCTGTGGGTATTGTTCGTGTGAATGGTGAGAGATTTTGTTGACAGTTGATTTTTTTTTTGGATGGGGAACATCCCTGCCCTGTTTCTGTGCACAAACAGGCATTGTTTCCCATCATGTCTGGTTTTAATTGAATGGTTTCATGCATTTAACATCAGGTCAGATAATTTGTTCATCCACATTTAAAAGGCTGGCTTGCGAGTTTTTGCCATGTGCAAATGGTTTGTCAAAACTCCAAGGGCCACAGACTTCTGTGTAAATTGTTTGTAAAGTCATGCTTACGTAAATTGTCACTTTTTACATAAGAATGGGTTTATAAACGAATTGCACAGAAATTCTGCTCGTTTTTATAAATAAAGCCACAAAATCAAGCAGCTGTAAAGCACAGCAAATGGTCAAGTTCATCCCAATAAATGGCGTCATAGAAAGATAAATCCCTTTTATTTGCTTCATGAGACGTCTATGTGGCGTCAACAGCAGTAAACACGTCTCAGAGACATTAGAGACTTGGACCTTGGAACTATAAAAACAAATGTTCTGCCTTTCTTAATTCTCGGCCTGGATTATTTCAAAACACCCCACACATATCTTTAACCTCTTCACCTCTTCCAGCTTTCTGATTTCCTCTTTTTTCTAACACAAAAAGTTTGTGTACTGATTCTCAGAAACCTACACACTGTTCACTACTCCCTACACTCTCGGCAGCAATGCTGAAATGTCACAGAAGATGACACATGGATCACCTAGATTAGGGGTTTCACATATGATAGTATCAAATAAATATGTCCTGATAAATAAATTTAAATATATCAGTTTCAATGTAATTATTTTATTTTGTGTGAATATATATATATATTTATTAGTGCTGTCAAACGATTAATCGTGATTAATAACATCCGAAATAAAAGTTTTTGTTTACATAATATATGTGTGTATACTGTGTATATTTATTATGCATATATAAATACAAACACATGCATGTATATATTTAAGAAAAACATGTTGTTTATAGATTAAATATATTTATATATAATATAAAATATAAGAATATGAATATATAAATGTATAAACGTAAATATTTTCAAAATATATACTGTATGTGTGTGTATTTATATATACATAATAAATATACACAGTACACAT